AGATTAAAAAGGAAAAACCCACTCAAAAAGAAAATCATCACTCAAAAAACCCACTGTAAAATATATGTATGAATAATGGTTTCAAGAAAAGATTAAAAAGAAAAAACCCACTCAAAAAGAAAATCATCATTAAAAAAACCCACTGTATGTATGAATAATGGTTTCAAGAAAAGATTAAAAAGAAAAAAATCAAATCATCACTCAAAAAACCCACTTTAAAGGAGAAACTTCAAAGCTTAAAAAGGAAAATCTCCACATACCATATACTTGAAGATATATTGTATCCCCTTCGAATTCCTTTCGAACAACCCATTGTGTGTGCACCATTGTTTAGCTTGAAGATCGGTCAAAACATGAAGAGATCAAGGAGACGGATGAAGAAACTAAATTGCACCACTGATTGATGAAGAAATCAGAATGTAAACACATTGATTAGAAAAGGATTGGAGAGAACATCACCATGAAGCTTTTTCTAATCTATCTTTTAGGGATTTTGTTCAATCAGGCGGCAAAGTAGATGAAAAGGGTTTTCTAATCCCTAGGGAGGACCAAATCTATTATCAAAAACTAAAAAAAAGAATTGACGAATTTACCCCTTCTTAACTATACTTTGTTTAACGCCGTTACTAACAGGGACTCCATCTGTTATAAAATGGAAAGTACAGGGACGTTGGTCGTTAAAAGATTCTTTGAGGGACGTTAGTCGTTAATTTTTGCAAACCACAGGGACCAAATTTGTATTTAACTCTAAAAAATATCATATCAATACTATCTTACATGAACAACCTATATGGATGAGGAGGTGGCAAATAATATAAATCTTTAAACCGTACCTGATATACCAGGAATTGAGTTCCCATTGTTTTACCACATGCAATAGGGGGAAGGAAGTAGTCTCGCATATTCTTAACTGTTAAGCAACCACAGAAACAGAAACAAAAACAATGGGGAAAACTCAATCCGTGTAGCAATCTTGATTTTTCACAGAAGAAAGGAGTGTGGGAGAGAATTTTGTGTGTGTAATTAAAGGGGAATCTGAGTTTTCTGTTGCTAATATGGACGGACCACCAGGAAACGACTTTTGTTCAATCTGCCACGGCAACTTCCATATCCCTCATCAAGCCAATTGCTCTCATTGGTATTGCGGTACGTATTCATATTTAACCTACACCCTTTGCCTTTTGGTTCTCTTCTGTTCTTCCGATTTTCTGTTTTAAATTGGCGAAACCGAGATTGCATTCGATTCAATTGCGAGCGGTTTATTTTGTTAATTGAAGTTGTTTGTGTGAATGAAAGTTCTGATTTTTGGGGGTAAAATACGCTATTGCCTTGTTTTTGTTTTGGTCTTCCTTTATACTCCACCACATGTTATATATTACTGTTTCAATTGGGAAATTAGGGTTTATGATGTATACGATTGTGAAACCAAACTTGAAGATTTTGTGCTATTTTACACAAAATGGAATCTTGTTTTGGAACATAATTTCTGCAAAGTGGACTGGAGACTTGAAATGGAGGCAGTATATTCTAGTTGTAATTCCTCTTATGTAACCAATGGGAGGAATCAGAATATATTTTTCAGTGACCCAAGTAAAGCAATGGTCGATGCTGTAATCTGCCATCTGGGTGTGTTCGGTGCTGGGGACAGGACAGTATAAAAACTTGTTGGCCCATGTTTGGAGTGGCATTAGGATGGGACAGGACAGGTCTGAAGTGCGGCAAAAATGCATTTTTTCTGTCCCGCCGAAATAGGTAGAACAGAAATACCGGACAAAATGGGTAAATTACCTATGTTAAATTAAAACCCTAAAACATTCCAGTCCCGTCCATGGCCAAATGCACCCAAAGACCAAATTTTTTTGTATATAATTGGATAAGTGACCTTAAAATGAGTTTATAATTAGGAGCATGACCTTCTAAATGACCTTCATCCAACTTGCCTCTGGTTCAAAACAGCCTGCCCCTGGTTCACAACAATTCGCTCCCGTAAAAACTTAGAAATACACTAGAGGGTGTCATTTTGTAAAACAAGCTTATGGAAAAGGTCGTTGAGCTAAATAGGCCCACATATTATACGGGGTTGAAGTATCGAATGACATGAAAATCTGTTTGTGCATATCGTCACCCACATAACCATTGCATCTTTTATTTTCTCAGGCAATTGCATTTTACAAGTTTGGAATCATGGGTCAGCATTACAGCCATGTAAATGCCCTCTTTGTCGTCGCCAGATTACTTTGTTGGTTCCTAGCCAGGCTTCCTCTCAGCAAGTTAATGATCCCGAAGCTTCTGAGATTTTAAAAAGGATAGAAGGGTATAACCGTTTCTTCGGTTCACATTCAACTGGTCTCAGCCAGGTATACATTTGATGCTCCTTATATTTTTGAACCAAAACTTCAATTTTCAAATGGTGATAATAGTATACAATTGGAAGGATTAAATAGAAACATGAGTTTTCCAAGGATGGTATCGTTTAAGAGAATATAGCAATTGGATTCTGACGGTCGAGGAGGGTAGAAAGTATGATGGTCGAGGGGGTGAAGGGGGAGGGGGAGGCCAAGGAGGACGTGGGGTAAGCAGTTGTGGATGGAAACAAGCAACCTTAGACATTTATGAGGACATGCCTTTGGTAGGAACCCTTGGGTGCGTTTAGTATTTAGACAGGATAAGATATTTTTAATAACAAATACATCATTAAAAAAGTTTTCATCAAGATGATTAAAATGACACAGAAATAAAATATTTATGTAGTTTCCAAATTATATTTTATACTTTTTCTATATTGTTTTTTTTATTATTAATATTTAATAAATTATATAAACTAATCAAAACATAGGAACCTTATAAAATAATATTTTGAGGACAGTAAAGTAAAAGTTTAAAGAACATGAAATACAATGAATAAAATCTAAAGAATGAATAAAATGTAAAGAGGAGACGTATTTGATGTTTTAGAAGAGAATTAAGTTTTATTTTGAGGTTATATAGGTAAAATATAGATCTGTTCCGCCTTGTTCCATTTGTGGGGGGGGGGGGGGGAACAGGCCTGTTCCTCTTTCTTCCACCCTGTTCCCGTCTGTTCCACATAAAAGTTCTGCCAAACGTGGAACAAGGATCTGTGTTCTGTCCTGTTCTGTGTACCAAACGCACCCTTAGAGATGCATTACTAGGATAGCAGACTATGGGTAGGGATTCGTAGCATCGAGGAGCGGTGGGGAGTTTGGAGTAGTTAAAGGGTGAGAGAGGGAGAGGGTTAGGTGGTGACATTTGGGTTACTAAGGTCTTACGGCCTCGAAGATAACCATGATATAGTTTTAGCTAAAATACAAATGGCTTGCAGGTGAACCTACTAGGAAAATCATGATTGGGATAGCGGACCAAAAGCTATGGAATTGGGTGTGGGTCTTTTGTCGAAATGGAATGGCCTTTTTAAATAATATTTTTTTAGTTAATTGTCAACATTTATATGATAAAATGGATCCATGTGTTCTCATCCACAGAAGATTACTCCAGGGATAGAAATCACATTAATTTGTGTGCTCAAATTTATCGGTCTAGTATTAAGTGGTGTGTTGCCCCATGAATTTGGTTGGTTTACGAAAATGTGGACTATGGTTGACCATCAACTTTGAACTGAAATAAGATGATAGATGGCATGTTTAGTTGAATCAGCTTTTCGTTTATATGCATTAGTGATGATGACGAGGGTAGCCGTGAAGGAAGACAGTTCTGTATTATCTTTTTTGGGGGGTCTGAGCGAGAATGCACCAAGGTTATTCATTTGAAAACATAATTTGATCCAGGGCCTGATGAGACTTCAGAAGAACTTGATTGACTTTAACAGAACTGTTCTGCATACAATCAAAATATTAGAGATGGGGGTAGTTCTGATAAATGATGAAGAACGGTTTTATTAAATGGGCAATCGAATATACTGTTATCTCCTTGAGTAGTCTAAAGCAGATGCATTTCCGTGAATTTTTGTAGTATGCTATATAGATATTAGTCCCATACATCATTGCTTTTCATGATGGCAACACATAAGAACGGTGGTAAATGCTATTTTTGGACGATATGGTGTTGATTTATAATATTAGCCCAACTATGGCATGAGGTGCCTCTGAAATGGAGTGTATAAGGTGCAACTTTAGCAGCTTAAAGGCTGAGGAGGTTGGATAGAGGTGCAAGATGTGTTGATATGAGGTATTCTGGAAGTGGGGAAGGTTCAAATGAGAACCGTAAATATTTTAAGAACGTGAGAACCAACTATTCATGATTAATATCATGAATAATGAAATGCATGATATTCATGAATATTTTAGGGTTTTTTTTATCATCAATAATTATGAAATAGTTGGTTATCAGGTTCTCGAAACATTTACAGTTCTCGTTTGAGCATGCCTCTTCTGGAAGTGTTGCTACATACATACATATATATATATATAGGATCAGGTTTCGTGAGAAGGAGAGTTAAGGTGAGAAGCATAAGAAGGGTTTTCCACCTTAGATTCACATTAGGATGAGATGCACTGGATCAATCCATGTACCAAGTGCAATTCATGGGTGGGTTTGAGATTAAAGGTGATCAAGGGTTCATAACCCATCTTATGTTTCTCACTTTAACTCTCCTTCTCACACGATTCTTCGCCTATATATTACATAGAGAGTGACGAAAGTTTAGTTGCAAATTGGGGGACAACTAAGAGCACGGCACTTGTCCCCCCCCCCCGGCGGTTCACTATGAATAATGGACGTGAATTTTTTACGATCATGATGAATATCTCGTCATTGTTCTGGACACGTGCACCCTTTCGTGTGGCCCCCAGTTTGCAACGGAAATTAGATTCTCAACCGAACCTGCTCATATATATATATATATATATATATATATATAGGGGTGGATTATGGGGAAAACTACAAAATTACTTTTATGCACATGTGCGTACACAAATGAATTGTTATTAGGGTGTTCCTTAGTCTATGTTGTTAAAATCGCGATATATCGGATATTGGACTCTGGAAAAATATCGTTGGTGAAATATCGGTCAAAATATCGGTTCCGATAATATCGCCGATATTTACCGATATTTCACCGATATTTTGATGGAAAAATCGGTCCGATATACCGATTTTCTATAAGACAAATGTTTGGACTTTTTTTATTATATGTCGGGCTTAGTTTTTTGGTAATCTTTATTTGGTCAACCAGTCAACACATATATTAAGTCTCACGCATCTTCTCTTCTCGGTTCTTCACAGTTCACGCTTCTTCTCTTCTCGTCTCTTTCATAGTTCACGCTTATTGTTTGCGATTAGCTCGTTTTTGAACACTTTTCTTATTTTGTTTTGTGAGACTTTTTTATGTGATGTTTTAGTTTTGAAACTATATTTCTAAACTCTAATTAATGCATATGATATGTTTATGGATGCATACATAATATATATATATATATATAATTCTAAGAAATATTATATTAACTGCTATTTTGGACCGATATATCTCCGATATATCATCGATATAACCGAAATATCGAATTTCGGTCCTGACCGATATTTTGTATTTTGACCGCAGTAACAACATAGTCCTTAGTTTTCCCCTTTTTTTGTGGTTTTCCCAGAACCAGAGTCTATATATACACACCTGAGATGGGCCTGTGGCCTGAACAGTGAACATGATAAAATCTGAACACAACCAGATGTATCTCACAGCATGATTCTTGAATCTTAGGTTCTCCTATGAAAGTCTCGGTGTCGAATTTGGTTAGATTTGAATGGCCACTCCATATAAAGATCCTTATGATGAAATTTGACCCTTGTTACGCTTTTGCAGAGAGTGCAAGACCTGCCATTTCTCCTCAGGCGGTTGTTTCGAGAACTAATGGATCCTCAAAGATCTCTTCCGTTTGTCATCAAAGCACGCGTATATCTGGCAGTTGAGTTGTTAATAGTTAATCCCATTTATATTGCATATATCATCTCTAATTACTACCATGAGTATATGCTAATATGAAGTTACTGTTTTTTCCCACACAGCTAATATCGACTGCCATTTACGTGCTCAGCCCTGTTGACATTATTCCCGAAGGTATTTTGCTTCAACTTATGCTGTAGATTTGTGTTATCAAGTTTCCATATATTACCAAGGTGTCGTTGGCCCGGTGGTACCTGGGTTACGGGTAGAGCCCAGCCTCCGAGGAGTTCAAAGGTTCTAATAGAGGCGGACCTAGAAATTTTTTCAAGTGGTGGCATCATTTTAGTATAAAAAGCGAAGCTATGCTTTTTTTTTATACAAAATCATCAACTTATCGTTGGTTAATTCCTTGCTTTTTGTTTGTTAGGTTTTGTGTTTCGTTACTTTTATCCAAAAAAATCTCAGAAACATAAAACCTCCCGAAATTAGAAGCTAAAAACTAAAAAAAGAATGATACAAATAAGATTCGAACCTGTGCTTGGAAGGGGAGAAAAGACCATACAAACCAACTAATTTACTGAGAGAAACTTGTGTTATTATTGTAGTTTTAATGAATATACGGTTGCACCCGACAAAATAATGGGGGGCACCTTTTATGACCCTTATTTTTTTCACCAAGATGGAGGAACGAAATGGTGGCACGTATCACCATAGTGGGTCCGCCCTTGGGTTGAAACCTCACTAAAGGTGAGGAGTTACACCTTGGTTACCACTAGAGCCTGGCCTCCTAGGTGGTCAAAGGTTCAAATCTCATCAAGTGGTACCTTAGTTACCGGTAGATCTCACCCTCTCGGGAGGTCAAAGGTTCAAATTTTAGTTGTACCTGGGTTACTGGTAGAGCCTAACCTCCCTGGAGGTCAAAGGTTCAAACCTCATCAAAGATGAGTAGTGTGTCTATACTTTCCCCCATATATTTCAAAAAAAGGTTCCCATAAATGGATGTTTGATGCTTCTTTTGACAGCATTGTTTGGAATACTTGGTCTATTGGATGATTTCATTATAGCCCTCATTTTCTTCCTTCACGTTGGCACGTTGTATCGGGCTATACTTGTGCGTCGCTACGGAGGATCTTCCACCTGAACCGAACGTTTGCATCATCGAATATATTACCGTACGTATACAGAATTTGAGAGATTATGAAATTGTATGTTGATGGGAAGGTAATCTTAGTTCTTGGATTTTCAATTTTGTATTTATAACCGAAAATCAAGAAATCTTTTTTGAATTAATTCACATGTGAAATGACTTTTTATTAGTTTTCTAATATTTTTTATTGACTTTATAATTATTTATTAATGTTGAAAAAATATATATAGGACTTACAAAAGAGGTTCTTTAACTATTATTGTGGACTTTTATGTAGGTTCTTAATGTTGGTGATTTTAGTGTTACCGGTTTCATTTGGTGTAATGGGTAAATATACGAGAGCTAACGGGGATTTTTACTTAGTTTTTATGTAAGTTAGGAGGTGCGGAGCGCACACTTGTATAAGACTAGATTGATCCCAGTACGACCAAAAGGGGCAGCACCCTTGGGGGGGGTCCCGTTGCCCGGTCAGCGGGAGGGGGTCGAGAGGGGCCGCCATCGTGGGGCTCGGGGCAGTGCCCTGTACCAAAATTTAGTTTCTATGGAAGAAGTGTTATGGAAAACATCTTTCTGATGTGCGTTCTCTATATTTTCATATAAAGGATAGCAGCCTCAGTAGGCAACTTGTTGGAAAGAGCATCTCCGATGCAAGGAATTTATAAGCTAAAAGTGTGGGTTTTTAGAATCTATCATATTTAATCAGTTTTAATTTCATAAAATTTTATAGAAGTTCCTTATTCAATCATTTTTATTTATTAATACTAAAGTAATGATATTTAAATAGAATTAATAAATAATGTAAAATGAATACATAATTAAAATAATTATATATGTATATATATATATATATATATATATATATATA